ATGCTTTTATATGCTTTTTATCATCCGTTGAGCCGTAAATGGTCATTTTTCAGTAGCAGGTATACATTTCGGGTATCTCAGCTGTTTCCCCCCCGCCAAACCCCCATGTTTACAACTGATCGGCCGTGGCGGCGGGGCATTTTTGGTGGGTTACTTCCGGTGAAACGCTGAGCGCTTCTAGGGCTAATATTGGCAAAGAATAGCGTACGGTCTATTGTGTTTATTTTTAGACTGCCTGTAACTGTGGGCTATGTTTCGGCACTATTCGGCCGGAGCACATAATTTGAGATGTGCCGTCTTATTAATATTAATGTACCGCCAAACTTGCTAAGAGTGTCGTCATCGCAAGAGCGATTTATAGGTCAGGTTACACTGTTAAATATCCTATTCCTATTATGTTTAGCTAAAGCGCGTGGACTTGGGCATGGCATAGTAAATGTTTTACGGCGCTATAAACACAGAAATGACAGTTATGGCGCCTGTGAGGACCTTGTTTTGATTATTGGGCTAGTGTTTGTTTCTGGCTTCTTTTTATTTTATTATTGTGGGGCGTTTTACGTAATAGAACACTATAAAATTTTGGGCGACACTGCACGACCGTGCTCTATGGACGAACTGCGCCTGGCCTTGGCCCTATGTAGCCTAGATATAATCTAGTTAAAAACCTATTCTAGATATTTTGATTGCGTTTTCACAAACCAGGCATTGAAAATACAATCTCATCGATGGAACGCTTCGTGTAGAATCTTGGAATAACTATAATATTATAGGGAGGCCCTAACGTAACGTCGCCCGGTCAAGGTTCCAAGCAAGCTGAAGCCGAGAAGGCGGAGTTTATGGGGGCTGCCGCCATCTTTGTAAGTTCAAAACAATGCAGCTTACAAAACATGCTGCTCGGACTCCATTGCCTCTCGAAATTTCTTTGTCAATGTTAATTACAGCATTATAAGCACTCACGTACAGTAATAATATAATAAGGATGGTAAGAAATTTCACTTGTATCAAATTGCCAGCTCAGTTAGTCGAATACAGTAATACATGTACTATGTATACACATTGTAATGGTACGATTTTTCTTAAAACATGTTTTAGAAAAGAAATTGGGATAATAAGGATCAAAACAAAAATATAAACGGGATAACAAAATTTGCAGAATTTTCGGTCATAGAACTTCATCAGTGCAAAATGATGTCATCACTGACATTATTTTTACAAACACGTATACTTCTTGACTTAAACTTAGAACAAAATATATTTCTAACAAAATTGAAAATGATTCCACAAAAGATGGAGTGAGGGTGGGGTGGGATGGGTGAAAAATGAGGAAGGAGAGGGCAAGGCAGATGAGAGTGAAGAAGGCCTATGACGGTGGAAATGTACCACCCCCCCCCCCTAAAAAAAAAGCGAGGAGGGGGCACCTTTAAAACTTCGACTTTATCAAAATTTTACAAAATATCGTTAAGTGTCTTCAAAAATATTACAATAGAAAATTAAAAATAATAGGCTTATGTAAGAAGGATTTCAAAACAGATTGCACTAATTTGTGACATTTCTCATACCATGTCACACCCCCTGCACAGGCAGATCTCACATGGCATCGAAAATATTTTTCACACACCAAATACTTCAATGACATCCTTTGAAGGCACTGTCAAACCTCCACGAGACTTCAAGAACAGCAAGGAAGTTAAATTTGACACACTTGAGTCAACTAAGGCAGCTATGCAGGTTTCACATTATCAAATGCTTTGTCAATCTTAATAACACAAAACCAGCAATAAGCAACAATATTCTGTGAACAAATGGACAAGTGCGCCAGACTAGGCACATATACGTGCAGTTATCATCTTGGCAAACTGAATTTTCTTCAATCTCTTTCATTCTGTTTTTACTCTGAGATACATTTATGGCTGAAGCAGAAGGCACTTTCGTCATCAAGTTCAGCGCCTTTGCTAGAGACTGATATATCTTTAAAAACATTTTTCGTAGACCTAAGTGTTTTACAGTGGAACTCGATTTCAACGAGCTCGGATTCAACGAGAACTCGGATTCAACGAGATGAGATAGATTCTCCGTTTTTATTCTTCTTTAAAATCAATTTAAAAAAAAATAACCCGGATTCAACGAGCACTTAAATCAGCGAGCTCGGATTCAACGAGGTGGCTTCCAGGGTGAACAGCCCCTGCAGACGTGGCTTCGCTCTTTTTTCTCCCACAACGAACTTTATCTATTCCCGGAAACCATCCATTGCACCTGCACCGTGAACCATTATACAGC